GGGTTTTTTTGAGGGGTTTTTGAGTTTTGTTTTTTGGGGTTTTTGGGGTTGAGGTTTTTTTTGGGTTTCGGGGTGTTTTTAATGGATTTCGGGGTGTTTTTAGTGGATTTTGGGGTGTTTTCAGTGGATTTTGGGGGGTTTTTACTGGATTTCGGGGTGTTTTCAGCGGATTTTGGGGTGTTTTTAGTGGATTTTGGGGTGTTTTCAGTGGATTTTGGGGGGTTTTTACTGGATTTCGGGGTGTTTTCAGCGGATTTTGGGGTGTTTTTAGTGGATTTTGGGGTGTTTTCAGTGGATTTTGGGGGGTTTTTACTGGATTTCGGGGTGTTTTCAGCGGATTTTGGGGTGTTTTTAGTGGATTTTGGGGTGTTTTCAGTGGATTTTGGGGGGTTTTTACTGGATTTCGGGGTGTTTTCAGCGGATTTTGGGGTGTTTTTAGTGGATTTTGGGGTATTTTCAGTGGATTTTGGGGTGTTTTTAGTGGATTTTGGGGTGTTTTTAGTGGATTTTGGGGTGTTTTTGGTGGATTTTGGGGTGTTTTCAGTGGATTTTGGGGTATTTTAGGTGGATTTGGGGGTGTTTTTAGTGGATTTTAGAGTGTTTTTGGTGGATTTTGGGATGTTTTTAGTGGATTTTGGGGTGTTTTCAGTGGATTTTGGGGTGTTTTTACTGGATTTCGGGGTGTTTTCAGCGGATTTTGGGGTGTTTTTAGTGGATTTTGGGGTATTTTCAGTGGATTTTGGGGTGTTTTCAGTGGATTTTGGGGTGTTTTTACTGGATTTCGGGGTGTTTTCAGCGGATTTTGGGGTGTTTTTAGTGGATTTTGGGGTATTTTCAGTGGATTTTGGGGTGTTTTCAGTGGATTTTGGGGTGTTTTTAGTGGATTTTGGGGTGTTTTTGGTGGATTTTGGGGTATTTTCAGTGGATTTTGGGGTATTTTAGGTGGATTTGGGGGTGTTTTTAGTGGATTTTAGAGTGTTTTTGGTGGATTTTGGGATGTTTTTGGTGGATTTTAGGGTGTTTTTGGTGGATTTTGGGATGTTTTTGGTGGATTTTGGGGTATTTTCAGTGGATTTTGGGGTGTTTTTACTGGATTTCGGGGTGTTTTTAGTGGATTTTGGGGTGTTTTTGGTGGATTTGGGGATGTTTTCTGTGGATTTTGGGGTATTTTCGGTGGATTTGGGGGTGTTTTTGGGTGTATTTGGGGTGTTTTCGGCGGAATTGGGGTGTTTTCAGTGGATTTTGGGGTGTTTTTACTGGATTTCGGGGTGTTTTTAGTGGATTTCGGGGTGTTTTTTGTGGATTTCGGGGTGTTTTTGGGTGTATTTGGGGTGTTTTTGGGTGTATTTGGGGTGCTTTCGGTGGATTTTGGGGTGTATTTGGGGTGTTTTTGGGTGTATTTGGGGCGTTTTTGGGTGTATTTGGGGTATTTTGGGGTGTATTTGGGGCGTTTTTGGGTGTATTTGGGGTATTTTGGGGTGTATTTGGGGTGTTTTTGGGTGTATTTGGGGTGTTTTCGGTGGATTTTGGGGTGTTTTTGGGTGTATTCGGGGCGTTTTCGGGTGTATTCGGGGTGGTTTTGGGTGTATTTGGGGCGTTTTTGGGTGTATTCGGGGCGTTTTCGGGGGATTTGGGCCCCACTGACCCGGAACCTCCTGCGGAGGCGGCTGTTGAGGCCGAAGTCGTCCTTCCAGGCGCTCTGGGCCTCCTGCAGCCGCGTCAGCGCGGGGGCCGCGCGCTCCAGGACCCCCCGGTCCGACACGCCGTGCTCCAGGCGGAACATGGCGTCCGCGGCCAGCCGCTGCTGCTGCTCCGGGGCTGCAAAACGGGGATACTGGGATGGACTGGGGGGGACTGGGATTGTACTGGGATGGACTGGGAGGGGACTGGGGACACGGGGGACACCGGGGGTGACACGGCCCAGGACACGCCGTGCTCCAGGCGGAACATGGCGTCCGCGGCCAGCCGCTGCTGCTGCTCCGGGGCTGCAACACGGGGATACTGGGATGGACTGGGGGGGACTGGGATTGTACTGGGATGGACTGGGAGGGACTGGGGACACTGGGGACACTGGGGACACCGGGGGTGACGTGCCACAGGACACGCCGTGCTCCAGGCGGAACATGGCGTCCGCGGCCAGCCGCTGCTGCTGCTCCGGGGCTGCAAAACGGGGATACTGGGATGGACTGGGGGGGACTGGGCTCACTGGGACTGGGACCCAGGGATCACTGGTCCCTACTGGTCCATACTGGGCCATACTGGGCTCACCTGAGGGCAGCACCTGCCCGCAGTCCGCGGGCTCCCAGCGCTCCTCCTTGCGCCCAGAACAGCACCCTGGGGGCACTGGGAGGGACTGGGATGGACTGGGATGGACTAGGCTCATACCCAGGGGTCACTGGTCCATACTGGTCCATACTGGTCCATACTGGTCCATACTGGTCCGTACTGGTCCATACTGGGCTCACCTGAGGGCAGCACCTGCCCGCAGTCCGCGGGCTCCCAGCGCTCCTCCTTGCACCCAGAACAGCACCCTGGGGGCACTGGGATGGACTGGGATGGACTGGGATGGACTGGGACTGTGACCCTGGGGCTGGCAGAGGTTACTGGTCCATACTGGTCCATA